AATGTAAATGAGAATTAAATATGTTGACAATGTCACATGGTTAGACAACTGCATATCAAGTGCCCATCGCAAGACCCTGGTGGGTTACTAAATGTAAATGGAAATTAAATGTATTAAATAAATACACACACAGACACAAATGATTTAGTGTGTATTTTTGTAAGAACAAAATATCACAATTATAATGTTTAGCAACATAACCTAACCTTTATTTGCCAGGTCAAAAAGAAAAAAAAGAAAAAATTATTCTGTGGAACAGAACACATACAAACCAATCCAGTACATTTTCCAAACTTCAATAGACAAACTCAAAATGCAAGAATCACCATAATATTTTTTTATTACTGTTGCTTCTTTATAGTGTTGTAAACCAACATTGCCAGCTAAGTTGCTAAACTGTTTTGATAAGCACATCTCAAGTTATTACGTGATTAGAATATGTTAGGTACGTTACCAATAACAACAGGAAACGTCAAACTAATACTAACGGACACATTGAATTTCAATGAAAGATGTGTTTTCCTTTCCATTATTTCCTCAAATCAGATAAATTGTGGGACGGCAAAGTTATCAAAACATTTAAGGAGAATGTTCAGATCGTAATCTGTCCATGAAAAGAGAGTTGCCATGTAAGTCATCGGTCACTGTCAAACATTCCATGTTAACATCAAATTCACCGACAGCAATTTTTTTCAAATACAACATGTAGCTGTGTGTAGTTGTGGAAGGATTCCACCTTATCATGTCCATTATCAAACCACACCACGACCCATTTACAAGTTTTATTTTAATTGCACAATTTTTTTATGATGAAGTAGTTGAAAGCTGTCAACCAGCTTCTGCACTTTCTAATAAACATAACGGAGATTAAAAGTCAGTCCATAAAAGTTCACTGACATGCTCCATTTACCGTAGACCTACATAAGAAGCAGGTGACAAGTTGATACTAGAATAATGGTTTTCATCCATGAATTTAGGATAAATTATTTAAGATGTCTAGCGTATAGATTTATCCAACAACATGATACAGTGATTTCTATTTACCGTATTTGTAGAGTTGCTCAACTTAATTCACAGCATCAAAAACAACAACAGTAAAAACTATAATCTGACATGAAATACGCATCTCATTGATACGTATCTCACAATTAAATTGTGATAAATGCAGGAGGACCAATCACACCACCAATAACAGTGTAAAATACATGTAAACCCAAACTCCAGGAGATTATTTCTTTTCAATCTTCATGACAATTTAAATCAGGAAACAGTGATAATCTGCATTTGAAAACACTTCCATGTATTTTATACTCAGAGATGAAGCTCGTTAAATTTAAGTTTAAAAGTACTGTAAACCACCTAATTCTCAAAAATTAGATGAATTCACAGCATTCGTGGAGACATAATTTACAAAAGTCACCGACACTCCATATATAGGACCTAAGAAAAACTACTACAATATTCATGATTTTCACAATCACTAAATGAACATGGTTTACAGTAAATACTTATAAACCACTTCCAAGTTCAAGTAGATCTCTTTATTATATTTAAAATTTAAATCATTCTTCATAACATTGTTTCACGGCACAATTAGATATCTCAGTAATGCTACTATAACATTCACTCACAAGGGTCCATGCTATCACTAATGCCCTTAAATATTTCATTTTCCATTTAATCTTATGCTTATGAATATTTTATATATACAGCAATGCTTTGTTTAAATTATACATAAAGAAACAATTATTGATAACGATTTAATGTATCTTCATTTGTCCCTTTATTGTATTCACTTTAGTAGCAAGTATTCACTCAAGTAATAGGTGGGCCCTAGTACAGTACATGCAAGTATAAAAAGATACTGTAGTATATACTGACCTATTGTCATTATCTACTGGAATTTATAACCCTAACTCCCATCCCTAAGGTATTTATATCTATAAATACTACCAATATTTCTTGTATCTCTCTATTAGGATGACATAAATGGTTCTTTGGCATGACACATTGGACACATGGGAAGCAAATAGTTATGAATACAGGTTTCCATCATTCAGTGTTCAAAACAAGAGTGGGAAGTTATTATTTGTATAAAACAAATTGCACAACTCAAGGATTGTCTGGATGCAGTAGTCACTGAGTAAAATAATCATGCTATCAGTTTGAAAGGGTCCTCTATGGCTTTACAGCAAAAAAAAACATCTGAAAATTTGGTGTTTATCTCACACTGGAGAAAAAAATTTTACTGAAAAAACAAAACTGAGGAATTATGAAATTTTGAATTTCAATGACAAAGTTTTGAACTGGTAATGACTATTTAGCAATAGAAAAAGGGAGGTATACACAACCAAAAAATACCTACTGAAAGGAGATTTTGCAAACAATGTACACAGAATGAAATAGAAGATGAACTGCCCTTTGTTATGATATGCTCACATGCTCACAATATAATTTAATACGTCAACAAAATCAAACAAGACATTACATTTCCACAAGAAACACAGGATAATCTCCAGAAATTTAATTTCCTGATGACTTCAAAAGATGATGTAATAATAAAAAAGATTGGCAACTATATTCATAATGCATTTCAAACAAGAAATGAAAATGCCATTTGATATGTAACACTTGCTTTATCCCATTAACAACTTTCTTTCCTTTTATAGTAGTAGCTATCACAACTAATCTTTATTGCTATTAACTGATAGAAACATTGTATTTCTAAGGATGCAATAAAGTTAGTATTATTATTATTATTTTATTACTAATGTTAACACGTGGTCTATGGAAAACTTTCCGAATAGTCAAAATGTATGGAAAAAATGTCAGCAGGCAATGTTATATTGAAAAATGCTTCACACTGAATATTGATTTTGAATAGAAAGTCTTGCATTGGAAATTATGACACTCTAAAACGCTGAAATTACAATCACAAGCAAATGTACAGAAATCTTACGAGTACCAAATACATGTATTACTATACATTAATGTTGCTGCTGGTAGTTGGTGGATGCATGCATGCTCTTACAGATTGGATGACACAAAGCACTGAGGTTTGTAACGCTTATTAAGAAATGAGATCATAACATTCATTCAAAAATTACTGGATAAATCTCCCAGACATGTACAAAGGTGTGCAAAGAATCTCAGTTAGCCCCAAGACATGTGCAAAGGTGTGCAGAGAACCTCAGTTAGCCCTAGACATGTGCAAAGGTGTGCAGAGAACCTCAGTTAGCCCTAGACAT